ATATGGCATAGGGGCTGGCACGTGTCATTCCACTCTGTGAGGATGTCTAGTGACTAGGGCGGGGCTTGCATGTGACATCACCACATAAGGCCATGGTTGGACTTGTGGCTTGTGGATCGTGGCCAGAGACAACCCTGCATTACATAATACTGCTGATTTACCAGTGTCAGTGGCACTATAATATGTGAGTGGCCTCTTGTTTTCTTACATAGTAAATAGATTTTATGGTTTTACGCTATTGGAGCTTCCCTCTTCTTTCTTTTTTAATGTTCTGTGTGATTGTCATATGGTCATAGGTCCTAGAGGTAGCAGAATGCAGATCCCCCCCAACATGAAGATGGTGAGTGACTAACTGGGTAGGAAAGTATTATAGGAACCTTTCTATTGCTGTCCTGCCTTGAATACTTAAGCTGGTCATACACTATACAATCTGATTGTACAATCTCCTTTTGGATCCACCATCAATGATGTAGTGAAAGGCCCTGCTTGGTTTGATACAAATTAATAAAATTGTGGTTTGTCCTTATACTACATAGTTTTGGTAATGCTAAAAAGATTGTACAGACATTGTACTATTTTCTTGTATAATGCAACCTTTTTCAACCAGGGTGCCCAGGCACCCTGGAGTGCCTTCAGGTTTCTTCAGGGGTGTCTTGACAAAATGCCTATAAATTTCCCAGAAATTGTAAACAAGCTGGCTGGTGGATCAAGCCTGCCTTTTATTTACACAAAGCCACAGGTTTTCATTGTGCGCCATTACAATCTTCAAGAGGCCAACATCCTAGCAACCAGTGACATAATCAATTGATAAGGAGGATGTTGGGCACCTGCACAGTATCCTTGTTTGCCCTCCCTTGCCCCTCTCCATCAGCACTGGGATCACATTAACTAAGTGAGGGAGAGAAACTGAGAGAAAAGAGAAACATTGAAATACCAGTCAGTACCAGTGTGCAAAGATATACAGTATATGCTTTGGAAGAGTAAATCACCTATAATGTTGGGTGTCCTACATTTGTGTGGATGTTGCTACTTTATTAACTATTATATTTTTTTACCCATTTTAGAATGGGGTGCCTCAGGTTGTGCATAATTTTAAAGGGTGCCTTGACTAAAAATAAGAATGTATGTAGTGGCAAGGTGTGCTGGGGTGTGCTGGAGGGTCTATTGATACTGGCTGCTGGGGGATATATTGTCGCTTAGTTCTGTATTCTCTAAAAGGGTAAGAAATGTGAGGTGGGTAGGAGGTCAAATCGAGGGACAGGCCTTGCTGGTGGGTATGGGGCCAGGGATAAGGGGTGACTTGGAAAATGGGAGTACCCAGATTTTTTCTTTGAGAAAAAAAGCCCTGAGGATATCAGAGACACTTGTGATACAAAAGTAGTATATTTCGGTTCCAAATGACAAAACTTAAAAATAAAAAGTTAAAACCAAAGCAAGCTTTTAAGATATAAAGTTCATTAACCTAGAACATAACCAGATATACTTTAGCTGCCTCCCAAAAAGTTTGTGCTTTAAAACTTGCAGTGATATCCTCTAATATGCTTTTGATGACATTAAAGAACTCTGGTCAGTATGCACTCTTGGTGTTGAAAACTTTTTCTTCCTTCCTTCCTTCAACCCGTTGACAAGTACCCTTTAAGAATCTAGAACTAATTAGTGTACTTTAGTGAACTGTGCTGAGTTGGCCAAAATGCAAGATGAAGAATTCCATACATGAGCTGATAACAGGTATTTGATGCCCTTTTTGCATCTATCACCGTCCTAAACATATTTTATATATTATATATATATATATATATATATATATATATATATATATATATATATATATATATATATAAAATATATTTTGTCAGTGTTCCTTATTTTGTAGATGCAGCAATACCTAAAGATTGAAGGCTCATATTTACAAACCAGCTTCCTTCAGCCTGAGGATTTACAATTGGACAGAACTTCCCTGACAGTAATCTCACAGAAGCATGATTCCGGCTGCTAGTAAGGATCTGCTTAACCACTAGCCTATCGGGCACTTTTATCCCCTTCCTTTCCCCTTCACTATAAATGAAAAAAGACCAAAAATTTTGAAAAAAAAAGCTTTTCTTTGTTTCTGTTATAACATTTTACAAATAAATTATCCTTCTACACAAATGTAGGCCAAATATATTCTGCTGCATGTCTTTGGTGAAATAACTCAAATCAGTGTTTATTATTTAGTTGGTACAAAAGTTATAGACTCCATGAACTATGGTATATATCTAAAAATTATTAAATCCTGATGTACTGACAGCTGATCTCATTTCTTGAGGCCCAAAACTGCCAGGACAGTACAAATACCCCCGAAATTACCATTTTTCGGAAATTAGACAGTCTAAGATATTTAGTAAGATGCATGGCAAGTTTTTTGAAGTTGTAATTTTTGTCATAATTTTGTGGAAAATTAATAAAATATATTTTTTTTACATACTGTCACCAATGCAGTACAGAGTTATCATATAACTGGAGTGGTGGTGATCAGGGACACTGACTGGTGACAGTATGTAAAAAAAAATATTTTAATTTTAATAAAACAAAAAAACAATTATTACTTTTTAAGGTACCATAGAAACATTGTACTACTCTGGGCAAGTGATAAGGATTTATTTTTTTTCTATTACTATGATTGCTTATACCAGTGGTGGGCAACCTTTTTTTTCAACTGAGCCAAATCTCGCCAAAACCACGATTGAAATTTATTTTGAGAGCCACATTTTTAAAACTGAAAATACATAGGATGGTACACTGTTTTTAGTTTCGATAAGTTTTTATAGTAATTCATCCCCCATAGTAATTCATCCCCCATATAGTAATTCATCCCCCATAGTAATTCATCCCCCATATAGTAATTCATCCCCCATATAGTAATTCATCCCCCATATAGTAATTCATCCCCCATAGTAATTCATCCCCCATATAGTAATTCATCCCCCATAGTAATTCATCCCCCATATAGTAATTCATCCCCCATAGTAATTCATCCCCCATATAGTAATTCATTGCCCATAGTAATTCATCCCCGATATAGTAATTCATCCCCCATATAGTAATTCATCCCCCATAGTAATTCATCCCCCCTATAGTAATTCATCCCCCCTATAGTAATTCATCCCCCATAGTAATTCATCCCCCATATAGTAATTCATCCCCCATAGTAATTCATCCCCCATATAGTAATTCATCCCCCATAGTAATTCATCCCCCGTATAGTAATTCATCCCCCATATAGTAATTCATCCCCCATATTAATTCATCTCTCATATAGTAATTCATCCCCCATATAGTAGTAGTAAGTAAGTAGCAAGTAGTAAGCCAAGTCCCCCCTGTGTCAATTCACTTACCTTTGCTCCGTGCGTTCCTCTCGCCGTGCTCCCGCGCAGTTCCGGTCTTCAGGGCGGACTGTGAGAGGAGCCTAGCTCCTCTCACGTTCGTCACGCTGCCCCGCCTACACACATCCTGACAGCCAATCACTGGCTATCAGGATGTGAGTGGCAGCGAGACTGGCCAATCATTGCATTTGAGCGCGCTGCCCTGGCTGTTTTTTTTTTGGATCACGCTGCAGAGTCCCTGCCGCCCGAGAGGAGGGAGGGGGCGGGCGCCCGGCACACAAGAGCCGCATTAAAGCATGTAAAGAGCCGCATGTGGCTCGCGAGCCACGGCTTGCCGACCACTGGCTTATACCAACAAATTACATTGGTATAGGCAAGCATTTTTACTGAATGAAACTGATTCATTCAGTAGTTTTTGTTGTGATCAGCTGTAATTGGCCATAGCTGATCACATGCTACATGGGCTGTGATTGTCTCAGTCTGTACATGTGATCACTGTGACCAATCACAGCTTGCAGCACAGTTGTGAGCAGTGAATGACATGAAAGGAAGCCATTCATTGTTTACAGCTGGCATTTGATCTGCTGTGGTTGGTCACAGCAACCACATGACACTGGCAGCAGGCCGGCTGAGTGATCTGTCTTCATCAGTGTCCCGTGGACACAGCCAGTGAAAAATTGTGCCAGACCGTTGCCCGAGATCCTAGGAGGACGTTATATGATGTCCTCATAGGATAATAGGGTTTGGCTTGGCTGCCATTGTACAATAGGCTAGGCAGGAAAAAGTTAAAATGGTGTTTGATGCAGAAGAGAATCGAATGTCTGCCATCAGGGTGCAACCCTCTCCTATTGGATTATTGAGAATGAACACTACATTTGGGCCAGCACAGTGCAATTACACAATTATTAAGCAAGTGAGTATTTTGACCAAATCATAATTTTTATGCATATTGTCCAACTCCAAGCTGTATAAACTTGAATGCTTATTGGATTTAACCACTTGCCTACTAGGCACTTATACCCCCTTATTTACCAGGCCAATTTTCAGCTTTCAGCGCTGTTGCACTTTCATTGACAATTGCGTGGTCATGCAAGATTGTACCCATATGAAATTTTTATCATTTTTTTCTCACAAATAGAGCTTTTTTTTGGTGGTAATTAATCGCTGCTGGGCACTTTACTTTTTGTGCCAAAAGCAAACAAAGTGAAAAAAAATGTGAAAAAAAAAGTTTCTTTGTTTCTATTATAAGATTTTTCAAACAGGTAATTTTTCTCCTTCACTGATGTGCATTGATGAGGCAGCACTGATGGGCACTGATAGGCGGCACTGATGGGCACTGATAGGCGGCACTGATGGGCACTGATAGGCAGCACTGAAGGGCACTGATAGGCGGCACTGATAGGCGGCACTAATGAGGTGTCACGGATAGGTGGCACTGATATGCGGCACTGATTGGTGGCACTGATAGGCGACCCTGATAATGGGTACTGATAGACAGCACTAATAGGTGGCACTGACTGACATCACTGCTGGGCACTGACTGGCAGCACTGCTGGGCACTGACTGGTGGCACTGACTGGCACCACTGCTGGGCACTGACTGGTGGCACTGACTGGCAGCACTGCTGGGCTGCACTGATGGGCGCTGGTGGGTGGCACTGGTGGGCACAGGTGGGTGGCACTGGTGGGCACAGGTGGGTGGGCACAGGTAGGTGGCACTACTGGGCACAAGTAGGTGGCACTTCTGAGCACAGGTGATGACACTGCTGGGTGGCACAGGTGAGCGCACTGCTGGGCACAGGTGGGTGCATTGCTGGCACAGTTTGGCGCACTGCTGGGCACAGGTGGGCGTAACTTGTGTGTGGCACTGCTGGGCACTGATCATCAGGGCACTGCTGATCAGTGCCCTGATGATCGGTGCCGATCCCCACTCTGACAACTGCCGGTTTTCGGCTGTACTTTCCTCACGATCTGACAGCGTGAGGAAAGTTCAGCTGAGAACCGGCATTTGCATTTCCCGCTAATCAGCGTGTCATTGGACACGGCTGATCACGTGGTAAAAGGCCGCTGTGATTGGCCTTTTACCACGTCACATGATCAGCTGTGTCCGTAGGACACAGCGATCACGGAGATCGCCGGGTGCGCGCCCCCGGGGGCGCGCAGGAGAGTGCATTCTGGGAGGACGTCATATGACGTCCACCCAGAACTCGCCGGCCGCAGTGCAGCTGTCATTCGGCTATCTGCGGTCGGCAAGTAGTTAAGCATATCAGGTAATGTGTGTTTGTGTAATGAGGGAGGGTGTAGCCTAAGGAGATCAACACCCTATATCATAATTATTAGGCAGCTTTTTTTCCTCAGGCAAATGGGCAAAAAGAGATTTAACAGACTCTGAAAACTCAAAAATTGTTTAAAAGTCTTTCAGAGGGATGCAGCACTCTTGAAATTGCAAAGCGATCACAGAACCATCAAACGTTTTGTTGCAAATAGTCAACAGGGTCACAAGAAACGAGTTAAAAAAAGATGCAAATTAACTGCCAAAGATTTGAGAAGAATCAAACGTGGAGCTACCAGGAACCCATTATCCTCCAGTGCTCTCATATTCCATAACTGCAAACTACCTGGAGTGATGGCCCAAGGTAAACCCGACCACCACTGAACAAGACACATAAGTTGAGATGTTAAGACTGGGCCAAGAAATATCTGAAGACAGATTTTTCAAAGGTTTTATGGACTGATGAGATGAGAGTGATTCATGATGGACCAGATGGATGGGCCTGTGGCTGGATCAGACATGGGCACAGAGCTCCATTTCAACTCAGAAAGGTGGAGGTGGGGTACTGGTATGGGCTGATATTATTTAAGATGAGCTTGTTGAACCTTTTCAGGTCGAAGATGGACTCAAAATCAACTCCCAAACCAGTTCTTAGAAGACACTTTCTTCAAGCAGTGGTACAGGAAAAAGTCTGCATCTTTCAAGAAGACCATGATATTTTTGTAGGACAGTGCTCCATCGCATACATCAAAGTACTCCACTGCATGGCTAGCCAGTAAATGCCTTAAAGATGAAAGAATAATGACATGGCCCCCTTCCTCACCTCACCTAAACCCTATTGAGAACTTGTGGGACCTTCTTAAATGGGAGATTTATGGTGAAGGAAAGCAGTGCACCTCTCTGATCAGTGTCTGGGAAGCTGTGGTTGCTGCTGCACAAAAAGTTGATCAGCAGATCAAGGAACTGACAGACTCCATGAATGGAAGGCTTATGACTGTTATTGCAAAGAAAGGTGGCTATATTGGTCACTGATTTTTTTAATGTCAGAAATGTTTATTTGTACATTTTGGGTTATTATTCTCACTTTAACAGATGAAAACAAATGAGATGGGAAATTCTTTGTTTTTTTATTTAGTTGCATAATAATTCTGCACACCAATAGTTGCCCAATAATTGTGCACACATAGATATTCTACTAAGAAAGCCAAAACCTCACTTTTACTTTTTAAATGTTCAGGTTTGAGGTTTATTAACATTTTGGATTGACCGAGAGCACTGTAGTTGTTCAATAATGAAATTAATCCTCAAAAATACAACTTGACCAATAATTGTGCACACAGTTTAATTAGTTCCTAAATTTTTGGGTGTGCTTGGCAGGTGTCAAAATTACCTAATAAGTACCCCAGTTTTAGAATCTGTCTGCATATTACCTTTCAGACCCATATAATTATAGTGTGTTTTATTTTATTTTCAAATGAAAAAATGGTGCTACATAGGTATTTAGCATATACGGTTGAAATAAAGACACCAGACTATCCATCTCAATCTATGACCATACCTAGGACCATACATTTCCACGACCTGTTAAAAACTCATACTTGCAGTATTCATGCATTTATATAATCACAGAATTGTTTCTTTTTTATCAGTGGTATGGTGTATTAATGTTTTTCTGAAATAAGTGCTTGATTGATCTTCTAGATCTAGACCCTCAGAAGAAAGATTTCCTTCTTGGTTCTGATGTCACTCGAAAATGCTCATGCCCAAATGAAGCTGAATCACAGTGTTCCGGTTCATACCCTAAGAACAGCAATACTAAAGAATTCCGCTATAAAGATTCACTGTTTGTACTCATTTCAAACTTCTGCAAAAAAAATGAAGGCAAATATGTTTGCGTTAAAAATGGCTTTTTTGACGCAAGAACATTTGAGTTGATAGAACGTAAGTATGAAATTCCACATTAAATGTAATAAGCAAATATTTTAAAACCAACTTCTTGTATCATTCGCATAAGTGAAAGCTATTCTAAGTTGCCCCACTGCCTCTGGAAAATTACAGATGGAAGATGATTAGGCTCTGGAGAGATGGCTCCGGAGCAACTTATCTAAATTAAATGTTAAATAAGACCTATTTTAAGATTAAAGGGTCAGTCCAGTAGAAAATAAAATTTGAGGTAACTCTTACTTAAAAGCAACAAAAATTATATATTGAAGCTTACCAGTCCTTAAAGTGTTACTAAACCCAGGACCCTGCAATTATTTTAGTAAATATAAACTGCTAAATACCTTTTCTCATCAGTAGTATATAGTAGTCTTGTGACTTCTATCAGTGTCCAGCAGAGCACTGATTAAAGCTTGTAGGAGGAGTTTTATTTCTGCTCTAGGAGGATGCAGAACCCCTGATCTCTGTCTGGACAGTGCTGATTGGCCATGTGGTGATCACATGCACGCTCCCAAGAAAAAAACAAAAACCTCTCTAGCAATACACACCAAGCTGAGCATGTACAGAGTGCCTCCACATGATATGTCTTATCAGGAGATAAAGGGGAGGGCACTGGAAGAAGGACAGGGCCAGAGAACACAGGATCAAACAGCCTTTTTACACAATGCAGATGATTAACCCCTTAGATTCCACAGTGAGTATAACAAGCATGATTTACTGCATATACAGACTGATTTTACTGTTGTGGGTTTTGTAACACTTTAAATGGTTGGTTCAGATCACATGCAGTCTAGTGCATTTTTTTCTGCATCAAAAACACATAGACAGTAGGTTAAATGGATGCCAATGCCATAGTTCTTACCATTGCAGTGCGTTCCAGTACAGTCAACAAAAGTAGAACATGCTGTATTTGTTCTGCATGGAACTGCACTGGAACAAGGCAAAGCACAAAAAAAAACCACACTGGAATACAACTAATCACATCAAAGGGGCACCAAAAGCACATGTCACCAATTAGCCCCTCTCACACTGGTGCAACTTCTGATGTGACTTGAGTCGCACAGAATAGCATGACAAGGAAAACCACCTTGTTTTCAATGATACCCTGCGATTTCAGCACCATAGACTTCTTTATTAACTCACAGAAGTTGCATCAGCATTAGATATGGAGCAATTCCTATGAGACTTTGGTAAGATAAGTGTTTGTTTAACCCTCACCTCTCCACACAGGTCATCCTTGCTTCCTAAAAACTCTCCTCCCAATCACAATCCATTCACACCTGAGCGTAGCGGAAACACACATTCTCGCACTAATTTTTTGTGCATTTTTCACAGGTAAATGCATGTCATGCGTAGGGCAGCCCATTCACTTGAATGCATGATAATCATTTCAAAGTAGCTCAAGAACATTTTTGGTCGTGGAACGATTTGTGCGCATTTCAGTAGGATTATAGCATGTTTTGTTGCATGAGAAATGCACAGCAAAACACGTGACTGCTAACTGGGAATGGGGTGTCATGAACAATTAGGCTGCATTCCCATTTGTGTGTTTCCAAACAATCAGCAACCCGCACAGAAAATGTGCGATTTACAGCGAGTTTTGTAAATGTGTTGCAAACACCCATCACCTTTGCATTTTCCATTATGGTGATGCAAGTGTAATGTGGGTTTGCAGCATGATTCTGAAACACAAGGCAAAGCACGCCTTTTCTATGTGGGTTGCCATGCGTTCAAAAATGCATAGATGTGAATGCAGCATTGTTAATGATACCCCAATTGCAGCTAGCATGCCATTACGGCGACACAAGTGTGATGTGTGTTTGCAGTGCGTTTCTGAAACACACGGCAAAGCGCACGTCTTGTGTGCTGTTTGCTGCAAATGTGGGAAACTCAGAAGTGAATGCATTGCAATGCAAGCAGCACACTGTGAGTTTTCAGTGCGTTTTTGTGCACTTTGCCATGCATTCAGAAATGTGCAGCCAAATTGTTAATGACGCCCCAGTTGCAGTTAGCATGCCATTATGGCAATGCAAGCACAATGCATGTTTGCGGTGCATTTCCAAGATGCACGGCAAAGTGCACCTTTTCTGGGTGGGTTGCTGCGCATTCAGAAACACAGATGTGAATACATCCTAATTGTTAATAACACCCCATTCACGGTTAGCAGTTGCATGTTTTTCTACAACATGTCTGCATTTTATCGCAGCACATCGCAGCACAGCCGTATACTGCATTGCAGCGTGAATGGGACACGGGAAACAATTGTTTCTTGTGTGTTCCTGCGGTGACAGATGTTTTACACTGCAGTAAAATGACTATCACAGCACATAATTTGAATTAGTCCTTAACCTCTTATTGCCGGCCAAACGCAAATGCGCGGCCTCCCGCCGTCTGGGCCTAGGCGCCGAGTGGCCGCACATTTGCGTTCTATTAAAAAAAAAAAAGGGGTGAGAGTGCGCGTCCTGCGCGCTCCCAGCACACATGTCTGGTACTCACGATCATGTGACCACCATGACGGTGTGTCACGGCGGTCACATGGCCCTAAACCCCGCCCCGCCTCCCGGCTTCTGAAGCCCTTAAAGGTCCGGGAGGCACCAGTGCCAAGGGGTTAAGGGTTGGTAAGCTGTAATATATTATTATTTAGTTTTTGACTTTAGATACACTTTAAAGATAGTTTCTGATAAAGTGAATAACACACTACTTGTTGTTTTGAGACCTTAACGCCACAATATTTGATTCTAGTCACCCTAAAGAATTATACATTTACACTTTATTAGGTACAAATTGCTAATCAACCAA